CACACACTCACACACACAAACACTCAAACAGAGATTTTAGTAAATAATTACCATCAAAAATAAGTCATTTAACATTGCACAAAATGTTCTTTTTTTGTACAGTTTGACCCGTGAAAAATCCCAGATATTACTCACAAAATAAAATCTTTCTCACAGTATTTTCACCCCCCAACTCCCTTCTGTAGTGTGAGCCATCTACCAACACTCTTTAAATCCAGAAAACAATTCACCAACTGTTTATATATTACACAACACCCTCTTCCAGGTGCTAAGTATTCATCAGTCGAATGGGCAGTAAATGGGTCCTACGGTATTTACAACTTCAGTCTGTTTAGTCTCTCGAGGAAATGTTGTGATGGATTCGGGAGGTAAAACCATTTCCACATTTCCAAAGTTTAAGGATCTCACAATCTGTCCTGCAGCGTCCACATCAGATCAGCCAATCCCAGAGTTCAAGAGAGATGTCTCTAGCTCCCCTCCCACAGCCGGGGCGGCTCAGTATGGGGTGAAGCGGTTGTATCCTCCTCTGTACAAACTGGCCTGTTGACAGAAGCAGTATGCCAGGTGTGACCAGGGGGTCGTTCTTAACACGGTGTAACATGAGAGCTTTTAACAGAGGCTGGCTGTGTATGTTCTGACTCACCATTGTACCAACGCCATATGTTGTTGTTGGTCCAACTGAGTGGTGATAAGGGTCTGCAGCTGTGGCGTAAACCCGTCCGTATCTGGTCAAAAACATGAGAAACAGATGTGAATGTTGTTGTCTGCAGTAGCCAGGATTTTTAGACAGGCTGAGGTCATGAGTCTAGTGTGACCTCAACCTCCTCATTGACCTTCTTTATTTATTAATTTAGCTGCTCAATTATATATTTTTATAAGTTCTCCTCCCACAGTGGCCTTCTCCACACTCTTTGATTATATTATGTTTTAAATGCCTAAAAGAAGTCAAAGTAGAAGAAATTAAAGTAAAAAGCTGTAGTATTTATTTATTTATATATTCAGATGTGTTTTTCACTCATCTGATAACTTTTTACTGCCGAAAATCCATAAAGTATTTTATATATTGTTGTTTGGGGAACAGACAACAAACGGTACATTTCAACTGTAGCCTACAAAATGGCAGTTGTGTACCAATTTGTTAAAGTTTCTTTTACACAATAAAATGTGTATTTAAAGCATAAAATCAATCTCTTACAGACAGAATTTGAAAGGCTCAAAATAACTTGAGATGTTTCTGTTTGCAAGTGAAATTATCACAAAAACCACATAGTAAAAATGTGAAAGAGCATGTTGAGGCAGATACTGATACTTCTCACGCAGTTGAAAACTAAACTAGGCTCTCTAGTGTATAAAGACAATAAACACCGCCATAAATCCTGATACACAGAAAAGACTCCTCATCCTCTGACTGTCACACCAGAAATAAACACTGGTTTGAGGTGTGTGGTGCTGATGTGCCTACCCATCACTGTAGGTTGCTGTGGCAGCAGATGCTGATTGAGCCACTCTGTAAGCTGTAGGATAGCCACCCTGCACAGGAAAAATAAAATAACATGAGTACGGCTACAGCACTTAATGACTTTAAAATGACTTTAATGAGCAAATGTGTGCAGCCACTTACATAAACTTCTGCTCCATACAGTCCATCCTGATAAACCACCCTGATAAAAGTGAAGAAAAATATTGAAAGGTTTAGCAGTGATTGAATATTACAGAACAGGTTCTTGTACTTGGTCACAGTGTCTTACCCGGGGTAGGCAGGCACAGCAGCAGGTGTGGTTGCAGCAGAGCGAATCGTGTTGTAGACGGCCCTGCCTCGACCACGCAGCGCAGAGCCCCGGTAGGCCAGTGTGGGAGTTGCTACAGGGTACGGGAAACTAGCAACTAAAGAAACAGAGAGGAACAAATTGTAGAAAAAGGGGATTGCACAACGCTGGTGATCTAATAACAATCAGTGTCACAGAGAGGAACTTACCTGTGTAGAGTTCAGGTGCGTACATCGCCCCCATGACAGGGTTGATCTTCCATCCAGAAGCTACAGAGAAAAGAAATGAGAGTGAGTTTTTCTTCCACCAGATATAAACAGAAGCCTCCCAGAATCCAGTGCAATGTCTTACTTGAAATATCACCATTCACAAGAGGCGTCTGGGGCTTCTTGGTCACTACTCTTGCAGTGGCATTGTTAACCTGGGGAGACAAAAACAGCACATAAAGCATAATTATGTAGAATATTAAAGTGGAAACGTACAAATAGCAGGAAATTCTCTCTCACCTCGATCTTTCTCCCTTCCACGATCGTCCCATTCAGCTTTTCTCTTGCCCGGTCGGCCTCAGCTGCACTTTCGAAGGTGACAAACCCGAAGCCCTGCGAAGTTCACACGGCCATATTGTTTTTAATATTCTAGTTTTGTTCATTTAAAATCTTCTTCTAGTCTGATAATATTTCTGTGATGCTCACCTTGGACCCCCTCTCATTGAAGATAATTTCCACATCAAGGATCTTGCCAAATTGCTGAAAATGTGAGAATAAGTATTTAATGTGACTATAATAGATTTAACTTATACACAGAGGAGATGATTTAAAGGACCAGTGCGTAGGATTTAGCTGTTTAGTTGCTGATTGCAACTCCCTTGCCATTCTCCTGTGTGACTATGGTGGCTGTGAAATTTGCATGAAAACTGTGAAACTATACACTGGCTAACACTACAGCCTTGGTTTGTTCTTTCTGGGCTACTAAAGAAACATGGCAACCTCCCACTGTAGATAGAAAGGGCTCATTCTAAGGTAACGAAAACACAAAAGATTCTTATTTTCAGGTGATTAAACACTAATGAAAACATACCTATGAATATTTTATTCCCTTTCTGCCAACAGATCCTCCAAAATGTTACACACTGGACCTTTAGTTTAGTTTTCCAATATGGAAACAGTTATTTTTTAACAGTTTAAATTTGTGATAGTTAAATTCATACCCCAAACATCTGGCGGAGGTCTGGGTCTCTGAAGCGGAACGGGATGTTGGAGACGTGGAGGCGTTTCGGTTGGGCCTTACCTGACCCCTCCTCATCACTTCCACTTCCTGCTCCGCCCCCTGATGACACCGACACGCTCAGAGATTGGGGGTCAGAGGTCACAGGGGCCAAAGCATCCTCCTGACAGTGAGAAAGTATGAAAACAGGAGGAGGGGAGGAGGAGGAGGAGGAGAGGAAGCGAGCATGTGGATAGAAGAAGAATGGAGAAGAAGGAAGAGGACGTGAAAAAACAAACAAAAACAGAAAGATGGAAAACAAAAGATGGAAAAAGAAAGAGTATGAATGGGATGAGAGTGAGTGTGAGGAAAAAACGGGGAGAGGACATCAGTAGAAAAGCAAAGAAGGAAGAGGGGGGAAAAAACCATAAAAGTCAGTTCACAAACCAAATTCTGCAGCGTCTTTCAGAGAATTCTGTAAAACTTCAGTTGCGTAAGCATCACATGGCATTAGGCAAAGATCATTTTCATGAAGTCAAGTGATTCAAACCAAAGTTCAAAGAGCATTCAGCAACCAGTGATCCCTCTCAGGCAAATGTGAGGCATGAAAAGGGCTCCATTTTAGTGAGGCGTCTCTGAATACATGCCTGACGGAGTAAAAAGACTAACAATAAACAAATATGTCTGAAACTAAAACTATTTATGCTCACTCAAGCTGTGGCAAAGAGAGTTAAATAAAGTTCTGGCTCCCCTGCAAAACAAGAAAGACTGCAACTTAGTGCACGAGTATTATCATATTATCTAAGCAGTTGTAACAATCTGTAAAATACATATAAAACTATGGTAATATTAATCTAATTAAAATTGCCCCATGCAGAAAAATTCAAGGCCTAATGTGCCAAAACCAAAACATTCACTATCCCACAATGCACCACGATGCTAGTGTGTGCACGTGTATGTGCGTGTGTGTTGGTCAACCGGCATAAAAAAGAAAGAAATGTTAAATATATGTTTTTAAGACAAATGAAGTCCAAACAAGAAAATTAGAGAGTAAAAAGGTCTGCAAGGAAGTGAGAGCGGAGCGGATTGGAAAGAAAAAGAAACATTAAAAAGCAAAGAAGAAATTACAGGAAAAATACTGATATGTGAAAAAATGGCAGTCCTTTATGCAGAAGTGAAGATTTGAGTATTAGCATTCTAGTATCAAGAGGCAAATAGTGTAAAAAGGCCTCAGTGCAGCAGTGAGGAATAAAATTAAACCAAAGTAAACAAGGCAAAGAATGTGCGCAAAAAGCTTGAAAAGGAAAGAAGGGTGATGGAGGGGATAAGGGGGCAGAGATCAAAACTGAACGTTCCACAAGGGGTCAGTCTGGGGTCACGGTGCTGCTTTTCTGCCAAGGGTTAAAGGTCATTTGAAAAGGGGGCATAATTAATAAGTTGGGGATAGACAGAAAAAGGTACAGAGACACATTCACACAGGGGGAGCGTTTTACACACAGGCCACTGGATTACGCTACGCTGGCTTGCCATGGCTAACTACTGTAGACAGCATCACATCCACGCACGCACACACACACACACGCACACACACCACAGACAGGCTACAGTGGAGGGGAGTGGGAGACAGGGACAGAGGGTTGAGTTGGGTGGTGGTGTCATGTCACGATGCAGAAATGTGTTTCTGGACCTGAGCGATATTTCAGAGGGGGGAAAGGGGGGTCATCTGGTCAGCCTCCCCCTTTGACCCCCTCCCTCCATGGCGACGTCTCAACTTTCTCCGAAAATCAGCACGGACCCAAGTATGTCAGGGGCTCTAGTAATAAAATATATAGATGGGGCCACAAAACACCATTTATGAGAGTAAGAAGAGAGATGTGCTGCAGCACGACAGAGCAGACTAAACACAATCTCCATCCTAGTGGATGTTTTCATACCTGAAGGAGATTTGATTCTGCTCTGAAAAGAATACTAACTTATGTCGAAATGGAGCCCTAAAACCCTGATTATCTTATATTTCAACCTGTTTCCAAATGAAATCATATATTCAAAGAATCTAGTGTATGGAAAACACCAGAGTCTACACGTGCTGCATGTTAGTAAATCCTCACAATGACAACACTAATATGCTGATGATTAGCAAGTATAATGTTTGCCATGTTAGCATGCTAATATGCTAAATCTTGGTTTATCCTGTTAGCATGCTAACATTTGCTAATTAGCGCTAAACACAAAGTAGCCAGTGGCTGAGGTCGATGGGAATGTCTTCAGTTTTGCAGGTATTTGGTCATAAAAGTGTAAAACGAACTGAAATTATGACCTGATGATGGCGCTAGAGGTCAGAGGATTACCAAAGTCATTAGGATTTATCCTCTAGGGCAGTGGTGGCAAACTGGGGTTCGGGGACCAACAGAGGTCCTTGAATGGGTTGTTGGGGATCTCCAGCAAAAGTACTTATATAATAACTTATATCACATTTTTTGGACGCTGGAACAGCAACAGAAGAAATGGGGTTGGTTGTTTTTATTGATTGGTATTTACTGATTGACTACAAATACTTTATAATCTTGAAACCTAAAAATAAAACAAATATTCAGAGGGAATTTGTTGAGAGAAAATCCTCTCAAACTAGGGGGTCCATGGTCTAATCTATATCTATTGTGGGGGTCTATGACATGAATGATTTTGGGAACCCCTGCTCTTGGGCCCTTGAATATGTGTAGAAAATTGAATGGTAATCCATCCAATAGTTTTATTATATTTCAATCAAAACAAAAATGTGAACCTCTCCTGGCGACACGAAATGTCTCTGCAAATTGTTAAGATATTTCTGTCTGGACCAATTTGATTTTATAAAATACTTGGAAGTGAGTTTTTTTTTATTGGAACCAGGTTGAAAAGATTTTAGTCCACAGATGTTTTCACTTACTTAAGAAACAAAGACTTTAAGGACACAATTGCAGACAAAATGGCACCATATGAATATGAAACAAAATGAACATACAACTCATTACTAATCTACTGCAACTATATTTCAATTCACTTTTCCACTTAAGCAAAAAGGAAACATTAAACCATATTGTACCTTATAGTTTTGATTTCTGGATTGGATGCACAAGCCAAAAACATGACATACAAAGTGTTACACATTTAACTGTAAACTGTCAATATCAACACAGATTTCACAGCTCTTGAAAGATGATCTGTTTTATTGCCTTCTAAATAAGACACAGGGGAGAAGGAAACGTGGGGATTTATTTTCAACAACAAATCCCCACTCAGCTGCCCCCACCCCCCCCATCCTCACTTTGCTGTACTGAGTGTGAGCGGCATTCCCGTACATGGACACAACAGTAGAAGTGGATCTCTAAATATAGAGGGAAACTCTATCTTGCCATGTTCCTCTGATAGGACCTATGGATGTACCTGAAGCAGCAGGGCTTCTTCTCACATTAACTTACTGAAGATCATATTTTATTGGGGAATGAATTTTTTGTCAGGATGCAAATTCCTTTCTCAAACTGTTCTTACCGTGTTACTGGATGCAAGAGCCTCCGCCCCTTCGAGCTGAGGGCCCTGATAGATTCTGAGTTGGGGATGTTCGGAGTACTCTGAACTGGCATGTGCAGAGCTAAAATCAAGAGGTGGGAGTCTGCCCGCAGGCGCTGGCGGACCCTGACCTGGCGGGGGGTAGGAGGGAGGAGGGGCGTAGACCTGAGACAGGGCGGGGTCGCCGCTGCCGGGGCCGCCCTCCTGTGTGGGGCCTCCCTGAGGAAGAGAGAGAGGAGAGAGAGAGGAGAGAGAGAGGAAAGAGAGAGTGGGAGAATTTATTCACTAAATGACCAGACTAGGTATCAGATGTCAGAAGTGTAAACAAACTAACCACCATGTTGTTACTGCTAGAGCTCTTCTGCTGTCACAATAATAAATTGTTTTAATTAATAGTTTATGATGCGTAAACAAACATCAGATAACACACATGATGTTGAAAAGTGCCTCTGCTCTAAATGTCCACAGGCTTGTTTAAGCTCAAATGTTTTTAACTTTAGTTCAAAAACTGAAATTAAAAAGATCTCTAACTGCCAGTAGTGGAAGTACTTTTACTCAAACACTTCACCTAAGTACAATTTTGACGTATTTTACTAGATTATTTCCATTTCCTGCTACTTTATACTTCAGAGGGACATGTAACACTTTTACTCCACTGCATTTATTTGATCTGAACTGATTAATAACACAACATAGAATTACTAAATAAACCATGATGTATCATTGTAGGTTAAGATAAGAGCATAGCAAATAAAACTCGCTCCACCTTTACCAGCTGCAGCATTTCAAGTGATGAACACATTCATGCATAAATAGTTATAATCCAGTCATATAATATAAATTATTCTAAAACTTGACAATTGACAATTTTTACTTTTTGCACTTTATATATAAAGTACATTCTGATGCCCTTCTAATACTTTTATACTTTTACTGAATAAGTAAACTTTTGAATGGAGGAATTTTACTTATTTCGGCACTGTTAATGCTACTTTTAGTGAAGTGAAAGATAGGACTATCTCTATCACTACTGCTCACAGCTAGAACTGAAACAATTGCCAAATAATGTTACATTCATTGTAAAATTGACTTTTTTTAGACAGTCGGACAAAAGAACCAGAGACATTTTGATGGACATTTTAAACTATTTCCTGACATTTTACAGAATAAATAATTAGCTAAGTTGAAAAAATAATAGACCATTTAATGATGAACATAAGTTAGTTGCAGCCATACTTAAAGCTATAAGAGGGGTTGAAGTATGCGTGTCTCAAACCATGACTTAGACAAACACTCTACAGCCTCATCTCAGTCAAATAACACTGAAAATACAAACAAATGTTAAATTCTTCAAGTAAATTAGATAATTTAACTGACAAATGTACATCTTAGCACACATGAAAACAGATCTAAACTGCACAGAAACAGAGAACAACCACACAGCCTTGATACAAGTGAATTACCCGACTAGGAGCCGAAAGCATTGTCTTACCCCTTCACTGCATTCCTCGACCTCTGATGCATTGTTCAACAACTGCAGCATGTTTTAATGCCAGCTGACCACCCGCCTACTGCACCATAAGTTCCACTCATCCACCAATCACATCCAATGATTGCCAGAGCAAAAGGCACCAGGGGGCCACACCAGCTGTGTGGTCATCTGTAACTGTCAATCCCCTCAACCCCCCCCCCCCGCCCCCCCACTGCACACTGCCTTCACTTTACACACTTATGAACACACCACACATACAAGTCTTTAGACTGCAGAGCTCGTCCCCCCCCCCCCCCCCAAGCCCAAGATGAAGTGAATATAAATGCTCCTTCAGTTCGGAGACAGTATATCATGCTAAAGGTCGACTCTAAGAATATCACTTTGGAGGCCACAAGGTTTCATTACTTTTACTTAAAAAAAAAAAAAATGTTTAAACAATATATCCCAATGTTCCCCTCATGCTATGTGGAGTATGTTTGGTTGCCTTTCAAGTAACTCAGGGCTTTACCCTTTAAAATGATTTTATCTTTATTTCTGCTTTGTGTTATGCCCTGTGTAACATCTGTGGGATAACCAGTGCTGTAAAATATTTAACGTCTGCTGCAAAAACAGTACTTCCATTATGTTCCAAGTAAGCAAGCCCTATGTTCCAAGTAATATTTGTGACTTGGTGCTCAAATAATTAAGAGTTATAAACGGTGCTTTGGTGGCCTTAAAGGAGAAGAAAAACACAGATAATCACATAAAGTACATTTACTCTCAAACATACTTTCAAATAACTAGTAGCCTACTTTATTGTTTAGTGTATCTTTCTAATCCTTTCAGGTTAAGATTTTACATAAACAATGAAATAACCCAATAAAATACTTTTTTTTTTCAATGTTCCAATCCAATATGAAGATAGAAAAGATGTGAGAAAAGTTTGTTATGCAGTAAAACAAAATCTTTAAAATCCAATCCTGGAAAATCCCCACATTTCTTCATAATCGATATGACGCATTGAGACTAAATTCCCCTCCAGCGAACATAACATTGTAATGAAGTACTTTTGAAAACATTTAACTACTTTAGGAGCACATTTTTGAATGTAGAATTTTACTGTTAAAGGAACAGTTTAACATTTTGGAGCTTATTTACCCAAAGATTGATACCACTCTCATGTTTTTACAGTATTTATCTTTATGCTAAGCTAAACTAACTGGCTGCTGGCTGTATATGGTATTGATCCTTTCATCTCATATTTCCCCAAAAAGTCAAACTATTCCTTCACTCAAGCATGTTTTTTTATTTGCTATATTAATAGTTCTACATAATCAAAGGATTATAGAAGTTATTCAGTCTCTGTATCCTGACTGATGTTAAACTTATATCTACGTGTTGCCTTACATCCAAAATGCCACAAGTTTGTCAGCCAGCTTTAGGATTTAGAAGGATTTCTCATAATTAAAAACTCACTCCACTATCATTTCATAACCTCTCATGTATCTCTCAATCAGCTGTTGCTCACAAGAGGTGTGAACAATTAGAGATATGTAGATGCAGTACAATAAAGAAGGAACTGGAAGAAGCATAGTTGAAGGAACATTCATTACGGGTCTCTCCAGCTGGCTACATTTACATAACTACATCAGACCTTTCTTGTGTTATTCTTTTGTGAATATCAGCAGGTTAGACTGAACAGATTACAGAACGTTTTCATTCCTCAGTCTGTCAGTTTGTTACAGGGATCTGACGTAAAGCACCCAGCCTGTGTGTGTTAAGACCTGTGTACTTCAAGCACTGAACGTGGAGGAAAGCAATGATTACACTGCAGCTATGTTTGTAATATTTCACCATAGTAGCCTACGTATGTTTTGCTTTCTAATTTGTTTTGTAATGTATGTTCTGTACAGTATGTAAACAAAACCAAGAGCCTGCAGCCTTGCCGGCGGCTCTGTGAGGATACTTATAGGCACAGCTTTGCTTTGAGCTAAATGCTAACATCAGCATGCTAATATTCTCACAATGGCAATTTCTTAAGCAGGCATAATGTTTTCAGTGTTAACAATCTTTGTGTAGCTAACATTTGGTCATTAACCAGTAGTAATTAAATTTAAATGTTGGTGATAATGCTAGATGATGGGTCAGAGAGGATAACCTTAGTTATTACAATTCATCCAGAGGGGGACATGAATGTGAACCTCGTGGTGTGTTAGAAGGGTTTCATCCTTCTAACACACATTACACACACACAACATCACAAACACTTGAGCCATGACACTAGTGAGGCTTGTGAAGACATACTAGAAATGTAAATTAATTTCAATTGAAACATTACTAAGAAGAGCCTACTCCTACTATCACGCTTGTTGTTGTCATTCTGTCTAATTGTGGAAAGTACGGCTGTAAGGATGTATTCTCCGTCACGCCTCAGCTGAGCCATTCATGGCAGCGCTAGCTACAGTTTCATGCTGGAACATGTCTCCAAACACTAACTTGTGCCTATATTGTCTCCCATTTATCTCGAGACACCACCCATGTGTGACAGACAGATGAGTAAAGATAACACAATCTGATATCACCACCATTTCCCCTCTCTTGTTGTTATATTCCCACAGATTGCAACTACCAGCCTGATTCGGTATCACAGTGTCAGCAGGCGGACAGACTCTGTGTCCCCTCTCTCCTCCTTGCAGGCTTTTTTTGATTTCCATTTGTTCCCTCTTTCTCTCGTCTCCCTCCTCAGCTGTCAGTGCGTGGTCAGAGGTCAACGGCTCTGAGCCAGGTGCCTGCTGGGACAGCTGCCACAGGATTTACACACACACACGACTCTAACTGCAGATGTGGCCTTTTAGTGCTGGCCAAGTTGCAAATGTTGCCTAACACGTAGCTTCTTAAATGAAACCAAATATTCCTCTTTCCATCCATTCATCCATTAACTCTCTACATCCTGCTTTCTTCTATTTAGGTTCCTTTGATAGCATTTTAAAAGATACTTCCGTCTTTTATTAGGTTGTTAGTAATAAAGAGAAACAGTTAAGACGAGAGAAACAGAAGGGAAAAAACTGACACGTGACAAAGGTCCCTGACAGGATTTCAAACAGATGCTGCACTTCAATCAAACAGAAATGTCTGTGGAAAACCGCCCAAGGAAGACTCCTTCCTTAAAGATATAATGTTTTAAAGTAATAAAAAGTTCGGCATGTGCCAATATGTTTCGGAAAATATCTCAGTCTTAAAACTCAGGCCTGAAACTCTGTTTTGGTTCCAGTCACCTCCAAATCAAGGTCATTATATAATATATTATATTATATAACTAAAAACTAAAACTAACTGTGAAAAAACATTTTAGTTAACTGAAATAAAAACAGACTTTTGACTTCTGAAACAGTATTAAAAAACAAACTAAAATAAAATACAAATGTACAGGAAATGCCTTTAGTTTTAGTCAATTTGGTCAAATACACAAACAACAAGAGGAGTCTTTGTGTTTGTTGAGACTGTGATTCAATGTGTTTGTATTGTAATACCTATTTTTAAACAATATTAACACAGGAATTAATATAAACTAAACTGAAACGAGCAAACCCACTCTGGAAACTAACTGAAACTAAACTGAATTTAAAATAAAAATAATGAAAATACAAAACTATAAAAACTCTATGACAAATAACACCTCTCTCTACACCTGATTTACATATGCCCTACGCTCTACATATTGTTAAATAATAAATAGATATGAACATTATGTTCAAACAGCTAAGCAATCAATATTAATGCACAACAGGCAGGTTTTACACCTATTTTAAGTACAGCTGACTGCAGACAACAAGATAGGTGACAGAATCTCCTCCTGTGATTATCTGCTCAGGAGAGAAGGGCTAAAAATACAGTTGGTGTGAAGCACACAGACAAGGTAGAGAAATACCAGATGCATTGTGGCATTTATGGTATGTCAGGGACACTTAGACGCACGCACGCACACACACACACACTTATACAACTTGCTGGCACCACTGAGACCACTAGACTAAAGATAACCCCTAATGTGTCCTTACTATTAAATAAATAAGACCTTTCATAATCAGCGTACTTTGCCCAGATACAATCAGGCCTCACTGATTGCTGCTGTGCATGAGATATTCAGCCACTACTAAGTAATATATCACCTACAGGAATCAATAACTTAACTTACTTTAAACTAAATTATATGTAAGATGTGACTCATTAGTTCAAGGAAATAAATGTCCTTTGGTTTCTTCTGGTGAGTAAAATGTTTCTCTCCTCACTGGGATATGTTGTCCTGGTTTATTAGCTATTAGCTGTTACAATAAACACTCATTTAGAGCTGAAAGGGTTAGTTGATCAACAGAAATAAACAGAAATTGATCATCAAGTAATTGTTTCTAAAACTTAATTGGTTTCAGCTTCTTAAATGTGAGTATTTGCTCATTTCGTAAATTAAAAAGATTAAACATTTCAACGTGACAACCTGCTGATCAACATTTTTGACAATTTGCTGATAAATTCTAAAAAATAATCAGTAGATTAATCTGTAATGAAAATAATTGTTAGTTGCAGCCCTAAACTAATTCAACTGTGCATTTTGTTTTAATGTGTATCCATATAATAACACATCCAGTCTTATTTTCTACCCCTGAATCCTGGGTCACCTCAAATAATCACTGTAAAGCTCCCAGATGCCTGACAGACTGGATATTTGATGATACCTTCTTGTGAAGACAAACCTTTATGTGCAGTAGGAGATGAGAGACTTTGAGGGTTTACAGAGCAAGTTAAGGAGAAATTACCTGAACTATGCTGGGGTAGCATGTGGTTGTCTGTGGGTAGACAGGGAGTCCATAAGGCTGGAGAATCACAGTGGGTGAGGAGAGCATAGCCCAAAAACTACGCACAAGGAGACAGGGAACGGTGGAAGATGGGAGGAAAAGGAGAGCAGGGGAAAAGAAAGGATTGATATGCACACAAGAGAGCTGGCAATCAGGCTGGAAAAAAAGAGGAAAAAAATCCCAACAAGAGAAAACAGGAGATCCAAGAGGGCGAGGGGAAAGAAAGTTAAGACTCTTATTTAACCTCGCAGATTAGTCAAAGGAGAAAACACAAAGAAAGTCCACAAAATAACCGACGTCCTGTCCGGAAAAGACAGGATATAGAGCACTGAAAGAGAAAGCAAGTGAGCTTCTGTGTGTCCATCAGTTGATCATGCAGCCTGACAGACAGAAACACATGCTCAGGGTCCCATTTCAGAGTTATATAAATAGTCACCCATGTCCTTCTCTCTAAGTTTACCACCTTACCACCCTCAGTCTTACACACTTTGTCATGCAAGATGTCTCACTATGTGTCACACACTTGTACAATAACAGATTACCCATCAGGAGGTCAGTGAGAAAACCCTGAATCCAAAAGCAGGTCATTTGACTCTTTGTGTACCCCAAAAGTTGTATGTCCCACGGTTTAGACTAACAGCTGAAAGTCTGTCATTATCTTCAGGTATTTGACAACATGAATCATATTTATGATACACACACATCTGCATGTCAGTAGATAGACTTTATTGATCCCACATTGGGGAAATTCACTAGCTACAGCAGCTCCAGATACAACACAACAGGTAAGAAAAGTAGATCTTACACATTAAATAAAAATAGAATAGAAAAAAAACACAAGATATAATAAAATAAGAGTTGTATGTACAATAGATACAGCTTTTAAAAACTGTACATTTTACCTTGTGTATATAGATATATTTATTATTTATAAATATATATGTTCTTAATATATTATATGTTGTATGTATATATGTTGTATGTTTAACTGGAGTTGTAACGAAAGTAATTTTTACCCTGGATTCATTAAAGTATTCTGATTCTGATTCATGATTTTTTATACAGATGTGATTGTTTTGGCAGATTATGCACAGGCTAATACACGCAGCACGCGATAATAGGCATAAGATGATAAAATAAAGAACAAATATTTAACGTTACATATAACAGACGAAGCACATCAGCCGACAAATTAATAATTCTATTATGATTGGTTGTATATCTAAATATGTATGTGAACTGCCCAGTACTAAAAGTGCAAGTATTGTATTAAATAGTGTAAAACAAGTGACTGTGATAAGTGTTGACCGATGTTACAGAGACAAACAGTGCTACATTAAGTATAAAAGAACAGACACAAACACACAAACAGTGTATTTGAAGCGACCTCGGCTGGTTTGCACCTGTTGTTTTCTGTGTGACCAACAGAGTGCGGCAAGACCAACATTCCAACTTCCGTTCGGGGCGCAGAGGTGCATGATGGGATATGTAGTTCGTGCGTCGGCCCTATAAGTAAACGGCGACTTCCTTTAACGTCCTCTTTACCGCGCGAGCCTGAGCGAGACAGGTACGGACTGCCGCCCTTACGCCACTTTACAACACAAACACCGCTTTAACACCGCTTTAACACCCAGGAGTCGTGTTGTACGAGCCAACGCGTCTTTTAATCAGCCGACGGATGATATTTTGTAGTAGGTTGTTGATGGGAAAAGCTAATTCGGCTAAGCTAACGTTAGTTTGTCACAGTGAACAACGTGGTGCAGCTGCGGCCTAGTCGTGAGGCAGAGACACGGCCGGTTTCTAACTTTTACATCATTTATTACAGCTGCAAACCTATTTAATAACACTTATTTAATTAAACTGTAGCGGTTTTAGTAATTGGGAGGTTCAGCAGCGACTCAAATGTCAATGCCACATTGAATTAGGATCCATATTCCTGTGACAAGTTACATTTAAACTACTGTTCACATGATATTGAGGTATGTGTCAGTATGGTTTAGTCTACTATATTATACTTGTATAATTAAGTTAATTCAATCTGAATAGAGAATATCAGCTTATGGTAGTCTGTAGTTGTAACTGCTGCTGTGAATATTAGACTTACAGACTATTTGTCATTTGGATTTGCATCAAAATAAAATTACGTTACAATGGGAGAGAAAAAAAGATGTTGATATAAAACTTTTATATATAAAAAAAAACCCCGTAGATAAAATATTGCACAATTTTAGTTGCCTATGTAAAAGAAGAATATTTTTTTATACCGTATACCTTGTCAGTAATATTATTTTATCCATCTGTTGTGAAATTTTTAACTTTTACTGTCTAACTTAATGTCTATAATGTCCTGATGTTGCAGGCACTTCTAAGCCGCCATGCCCGTTGCCAGAAGTTGGGTTTGTCGCAAGACATATGTCACCCCCCGCCGTCCTTTCGAGAAGTCCCGTCTCGACCAGGAGTTGAAACTCATTGGTATGTTGTGTTTTATTATACACCAGTGGGCAGAATGTGTTACCGTAGGCCGCACTGAAGCGTGAACTTTGTTTACTCTCCCTTCTGTTTTAAAGGCGAGTATGGACTGAGGAACAAGCGTGAGGTGTGGAGGGTCAAGTTCACCCTGGCCAAGATTCGTAAAGCTGCCAGAGAGCTGCTGACTCTTGACGAGAAGGACCCCAAGCGTCTGTTTGAAGGTAGATTCAAATACATGCTTGATCAGTATATTGGCCGATGATTTAACTATCACTTGTCAGACTTCCCAATGGTGTCAAGAATTCCTCGTGAATGAGGCCTTTATTATAAAATTACGACACGCTCTGTACACGTGCCTGTATGGTTTTGTAAACGGCTGCTGTGTCGTCTTCCAGGTAATGCTTTGCTCAGGCGTCTGGTGAGGATCGGTGTGCTGGACGAGGGTAAGATGAAGCTCGATTACATCCTGGGTCTGAAGGTTGAAGACTTCTTGGAGAGGAGGCTGCAGACACAGGTCTTCAAGCTGGGACTTGCCAAGAGCATCCACCATGCCCGTGTCCTTATCCGTCAGAGGCACATTCGGTAAGCTCTAAGGCTCCTGTGGAACAACAGCAGATAATAAAGGGGGTCGCAGTCTTCTGAGAATCTCTCAATGCTTCCTCTTCCATCAGAGGACCGTCAACTTGTAATGCCGTCCGCTGAGATCAGTTAATCTTTTCAGCAAGGTCAATTCGGTATCAAAACCGTATACCTTGTCAGTAAACATTGCCCAGAGCCAATCCTGCCGCAGAGGGCTGCGACTGTGCCACTGAGGTGTGGTGGCTGTCAGGTAAGGTAGGGGGATTGCACCTCGGGCAATTACAGTATTCACTACACCTCGTGTTGTGATTGTACCAAATACTCAGGCTGATGATTTAAGCTTATGTTATGTCAGATTTTCTGTGGTGTCAAGAATTCCTCGTCAATGAAGCCTGCAGTAAACTGATGGCACTAGCCCATCTATATGTTTAAGATTTTATATAAAACGTGAAACAGACTTATTTTGAAGGATTTCTAAACTCCTCCCCTCTTTATCTCTTTCTTGGCAGTGTGCGCAAGCAGGTGGTGAACATCCCATCCTTTGTGGTTCGCCTGGACAGCCAGAAGCACATCGACTTCTCCCTGAGGTCTCCGTACGGTGGCGGACGCCCAGGCCGCGTCAAGAGAAAGAATGCCAAGAAGGGCCAGGGTGGAGCTGGAGGAGCCGACGACGAGGAGGAAGATTAAGAAGGATGACGTCCAGGGAGTGTGTTCTGATACTTCCTGTCAAAAAAATTTAAATAAATGTTTGGTCTGACCAGAGAACTGAGTTGTATTTGTTTTTTCTTTTAGACTTAGACAGACTTTGTCATTTGGGGTTTGCATCCAAAATGAAACTACGTTAACAATGACAATTAGCACAACAGGAATAGAGGAGAGGCAGTATGTAAGTTGGAAAAAATGGATATGCAGATATAAAACTTGTATAAAAAAAACAGAAGTTGTATTAATTCTGTCTCATAATAAGGACATATAAAAGGTGTAAATATAATTATAGCATAATAAAGGAAGTGATTCACTTCACAAATGGCATTAGCTTAGAAATCCTCGGTTTAGTAGTGTAACTCTTAAAAGTCAGAATGGTACAGTCCGCACCCCTACAGCTGGAATGGTTCCGCCTACGTCCAGCGGGTGACGTCATTTTACATGAACCAGGAAGGGCGCTCCTCCTGTGTCAGCGGTGTGAATGGGTCGGTGGTTGTACGAGCTTTTACCGGAGACCGGATCGTCGTTAACCCGTGGTGATTGAACACGTTATTAATGTGAGTACGAGGAAGCTTTTAAACCAGCGGTTGCTCATTTTAACGGCCGCTCTCTGGTGATAGCTGCTGTTTAGTTTGGACTCCCGATGCTAATGTTTGTTATGTGAACTTACATACCTGTAGTAGTCAATACATCCATACTGCGGGTTAACCTCTCAAAACCACTATCAGCTGCTGTTTTTATCATCTGTCACGACATTTAAAGACGGCCATAATCTGTCGGGCTATGTTGCTGCGAGCTTAAAGTGAAGTCACCTGGAAGAAGCTTTTTTGCAGGCATGGGAGTGATTGTGGACGCATGTTAGTGAGCTGTGAGCTGATGTTTCTGAGTGAATTAAACTGCTCATTTATACTGTTTACCTTGCACCTAATGAAAGGGCTCAAAGAAGCAGCTGTTTGCCCCAGCTTTCTCCTATGGCACTGTATTCAGGAGCAGCAAGTCCCCACATGCTGTTCCGTGTTATGTAATATTGGCGTGCGTTGTCCCCTTTTGCATTTCGTCTCTTCATCGAAGCTTTTATTCGACCAGCGTTCAAACTAATGTCACATTTTGCTGCAGCAGTGTTAAAAGCTGCTGTTGCATATAACTCACCGGAAATGTCCTCAGTTGAGAAGTGTATTGTGAAATACATCCTGAAGATTTTATCTTTATTGTGGCTGCTGAAGTTACCACTTATGGTGGCAAACCTCTCACAATTACAAATGCAAATAGAGAGAGAGAAATGGTAGATAAAAAAAAAAAGTCTATCTTTTAATAATAAGACTTATAAACAAGATGTGGCTGCAAAAATGTTGGCTGGAAAAACAGACAGTACTAATAATATTTCCTCAGACTTCAGTGGTGTAACTGTGTCCCAACCACTAATTTGTATGTAACTAAGTTTG